CTTCTTCAAAAAGCTTCAGCTAAGATAGTTCAGCTGTTCCCAAAAATTAGATTAGGGAAATTTTTTTTTTTTTTTTTTTTTGGTAAATGTCCTATAGCTGTTTCATGGAAAAGCTCTAGAAGCTCCATGGTTCAGACCACAGAATTAAAAACTGGCTGGAGCTGACCAGCCTCCCATTCGACACATCAGGGATGTGCCTTTTCCTGATCCCAGAAAAAAATTGCCCAAAGGCTGATAGCATGGTCAGTTCACACATACTCAGCAGAGGATTATTAGAGTTAGGCAGCTAAACTCTGAAGACTTTGCCTGCACCGAGCATGCTTCAACAGCTCACCAGGATTTTCCCCTGCAATTGCTTCTCCCATTACTACAGGCCAGGGCCCTGGAACAGAGCAGAGACACATTCTCTCCTATACTCTCAAGGCTCCCCCTGCTGGCACCCAGGAGGCAAAGAAAAAGGCAGACACCTGACTCAGGCCTTGGCTACACTGGCGGCGTACAGCGCTGCAACTTGCTGCACTCAGGGGTGTGCAAAAACACCCCCCTGAACACAGTGAGTACAGTGCTGTAACGCGCCAGTGTAATCAGAGCCTGCAGCTCTGCACACTTGCTCGCAGTGCTGCAAACTATTCCCCTCAGAGAGGTAGAGTACATACACCACTGCGAGAGCTCTCACAGCGCTGGCGGCGCGACTATACTCGCGCTTCACAGCGCTGCCGCGACAGCGCTGGGAAGTCCCGAGTGTAGCCAAGGCCTCAAATGCCACCTGGTGCATTCCCAGAGCACTATCCATCCTGTACACTGAATGAGGCAGGGGTCCGGCACAGGGGGGGGGGGGGGAGAGAAGAAGAAAGCATGAGATCATGTAATTAGAAATTATAACATAATGCATATACAGGAGGGGGATGAATTAAGGTTACATATGCAATCTTAATTCAGGTATTTCCTAAATTTGTAGTGCTTGACTTTGCATCCTTAACATTCATTTAATGTAGTTTTTGGTGTGTTAT